GAGTCCCAGACCCAGTGGCTTAAACTCACACTGGCACATGTGCACGCATGCCCAAGATCCTGAGAGGAGAATGGAGAAGTGATTGTGGCATGGCCAGGCCCCCTTGGGGGTGATTTCTCACTTTCTGTCTCTCTGTCTCTCTGTGTTGTTGGTAAGTGCACACTCTCTATAGCAAAAATCTCTCAAAAAAAAAAAAAAAAAACTAGAAAATAAAAAGAACAAATAAAAACCCAAAGTAAGCAGAATAAAAATAACATGAATGTAAGAATAATAATTAATTAAATGGAAAATAGAAAAAAATAGAAAAAAATGAAATCCAAACTTGGTTCTTTAAGAAGGTCAATAAATTATATAAACTTCTAGAAAGACTACTGTAAAAAAAAAGAAAGAAAAAAAAAGAAATTGAATTAGAGATAAGACAAAGTGAGAGAGAGATCATGAATTACATTAAGAGTGAAAAAAGAGACAGCTCCATGGCTCCTGCAATCTAGCCATTTTGGGAGAAAGGAAGATGCCCCACTGATAACTGGGCCTCCAGCATACAAAACTCGTGTGGTAGGAAGACCCCTTTCAAGTCTCCTGTCTCTGTATCTGTCTTTGTCTCTCTCTACCTCTGTCTCTGTCCTCTCTCTCTTTCTCTTTTTTAATTTCTGCTTTTCAGAATTTTTTAAGGTGAGGCATTTTATAGGGCCGTGTGGCCCCTCATAGCCCTTTATCTTGTTAATAATTCCCTCTCCCCCTCCCAACCCAGGAGAGGCAGAAGGGAACAGAAAAGGCCTTCTTCAAGAGACAGACAGCTCCATGGCTCCTGCGATCTAACCATTTCTAATTTTTGAGTTTTATTTAAATTTTTTGAATATTAATTTTTTTTTAGATTTATTCAAAAGTTTTTCTCTTCTTTTTCTCTGTTTCTTGTCTGTTTTTGTTTGTTTGTTTGTTTGTTTGCTGTTGTTGGTATTGTTTCCCTCTCTCTGTTTTCCTTTTCTGCACACTCTTCGACCCTCAGATTGAACTTCCAAGTTTGGGAAGAAACCGACCATCCACCAGATGAGTAGAAATCACTGTAGGAGCACAAGAAATATGGGGAAGCAGGAAAATACCTCTCCCACAAGGGAAAAGGATAGCTCCTCTTCATCCACACACAGTTCAATGGAAATCATGGAAATGTCTGATAAAGAATTCAGAACATTCATAATGGCAAAGCTAACAGAGATGGAAGAGAAGAGAGACAAGGAACTGCTGAAGAGGAAGGAGAAAGGAGTTGAAGAGTTCCAGGAGGTAAGGAAATTCATGCAAGATCTAAAAGAGGAATTTCACACTTTACAAAAGAATCAGATGGAACTGTTAGAGATGAAGGCTATAATACAAGAAGTCAAAATCTCCCTTGAAAGTATTAAAAGCAGACTAGATCATACAGAAAATAGAATCTCTAATGTAGAAGAGAAAATGGTTGGCCTAGAAAAATCCACCGCGAAGACTGAGAAAATGGCCCAAAAATTTGAGAATAATATGCGAGAAGTACTAGATACCATCAAACGTCCAAACATCCGGATAATAGGCATCCCAGAAGGTGAAGAGACTCATAAGGGCATTGATAATCTATTCCATGAAATCTTACAAGAAAATTTTCCAAACCTGGAGAGGCACTCAAAGATTCAGTCCCAAGAAATACAGAGGACCCCAAATAGAATCAACCCAAGAAGATCTTCTCCAAGACACATTATAGCCAGATTGACCAAAACCACAGACAAAGACAAGATACTAAGACTGGCAAGAGAAAAAAGGCAAGTTACCTACAAAGGGTATCCCATCAGACTAACGGCAGACCTCTCATCGGAAACAATGAGAGCGAGGAGAGAATGGGAAAATGTATTCAAAGTATTAAGGGAAAAGCAATTTCAACCGAGAATTCTGTACCCAGCAAGGTTATCGTTCATTTGGGAAGAAAAGACACGAACTTTCCCAGATAAACAAAACCTGAAAGAATTTACCAGCACCAGACCGGATCTCCAAGAAGTTCTTAAGGGAGTGCTATGTCAGTAAAATTAAATGCAGACACACAGAAATAAGAGTTCAGAAACTAAGAAAATGGGCAACTTAATTGTAGGGCCAAAAGCTGGAGTTGAGTATTACATCCCAGATTTCAATCTGGAACATCGAACCTCAACAGATACAGAAGAAAGATTAAGTACATGAGACTGAACTGATGAAACAGTATTCTACGACTTGACTAAAATATTGCTGCTTTTCTTCTAAGCTTTGTTGTCTGGTTTTAAGGACTTTTGTCCTGTCTTCAGCTATCAATAGATTCATGTTCCGACTATTTGAACAGAATACTAACCTGTTTCTAGGCTTTAAGTTTCAAAGAAATATCCTTACCAGTTCAAAACTGCTTTTCTTGAAACCATCGGCTGATCTTGCTATTGAAAGTAGTTAGATTACTTATGATATTGTGTGACCAACGAAATGTTGGGGGAAAAGGGATTGAAGACAACTGTAGACAGCAGAGATAGTGTAATAAGAGAGTGGAATAGGGCAGAGGGCTAGACATGGGGTAAAAAAACATATATATGAAAGTAGAAATGGAATATTATGGATGATAACATGCATTATTAAGCCACTATATAGTATATTCTAGATGGGAAACCACATTTAGAATGTTGTGATGATGCTCAGGGAATGAATGTAAATTAATAAAAAAAAAAAATTTTCAGAAGAAAAAAAAAAAAGGCATTAGAAATACCTATTTGATGACTGCAGTTAAGCTATATAGCCCTAAAAAAATACTAAAACTGTTAACAAAATTTAAAGAAAAAACTGTGTATTTGATGACCACAGTAAGCTATATAGCCCCAGCTAGGTACTATTTTATAGTATGTTCATTCTACTCACTGAGGTTTATGCCTAAAGTCAGACATGGGTTCTTGTGTATGTAAATATCAGCTGTGCTTGCTATTGCAAATATTTAGACAAACTAAGTTCATTAGCAAATCAATTCAATGGAGGGGGGGGGAAGGCATAGAAAGCAATCATGGATACCAGAGACAATGGGAGGAGGGTTGGATAGGGCAAAGGGTTAGGGGTAGGGAATCAAGAATGGCAAAAAAAAAAAAGCAAAATGTACAAGACTTAAGAAATGGAAAATTATATGTTGATAACATGTATGTTGATGTGCTTGATTGAGCCAACAGACAGTGCATTTTGGATAGAAAATTCATTTTGTATACTGTAATGAAGCATAGCATATTAATGTTTAAAAAAAGAAAAATTAATTAATAAAAAAAATGAGAATTAAAAAAAAAAGAGTGAAAAAAGGGGTCAGCACGTGTTTGGGTGGTTAACATGTTGGACCTGGACCAATGGTTTGAAAATCACACTAGGTGCATGTACATGTGTGCCCAAAATCCTGAGAGAAGAATGGAGAAGAGCTTGTGGTGTGACCATCCCCCTTGGGAGGTGATTTCTCATTTTCCCTCTTTTTTGCTCTTTCTGTCTCCTGCAAATGCACATATCTTATGAAGCAAAAATCTAAAAAAAAAATAAGAGTGAGAGATTGGACATCACTACTGACCCTAGAGGCATTATAAAGACAAAAGGAGATTTTTATGAATACCTTTCTCTCTAATAATTTACATAGGCTATTTAAACTGTATGAATTCCTTAAAAGAAACCATCTACTAAATTTGCCTGAGCATGGGGTAATGAGTATAGTGAGGACAGATGAATCACAAAGAAGAAACTTTGTATCATGTATCATGAAGAAACTTCTGGGATGTGATAAAAATGTTCGTTACTTTGATAATGATGATAAAATAAAATTTATCAAATTACATACTTACATCAAATATACTTCAATAAAGCTGAGGAAAGAGTTGTGTGGGGACCAGATGGTGGCACAGCAGGGAAACACAACATTCTGCAAAGCTGACCCACATAGGAAGGTTCTGGGTTCAAACCAAGAGACTCCCTAAGTATGCCAGGTTTGCCCATGAACCAGGCCTAGCTAGAGGCTAGGAGTGGATCACAGTGAGAAGACTCTGTTGGGGGTTCTCCCTCTCTCTCTCTTCCTCCCTCTCTCTCTCTCATTTGCTCATGGGAAAAATAAATACGTTTTGAAAAAAAAAAGTTATGCAGAGAAACTCAAGACAAAATTTAACCGGTAATAAGTACTTATTGTGGGTGCTTGTACAAAACCATTAAGAAACGTAATCTTGACAGTGATGTGCATGGTGCATTGACTGAGAAGGTGAGTGTCCATGGGATAATCGATGCTTCATAGCATGGATTTTCCAGCAAGTTACCCTTTGTTTATAATCAGGCTCAGATAATATATTCCCCTGATCCATGGGGTCTTCTTCTAAGAGGAAGACATCCAGACATAAATTGGCCTCATCCTCCAGAGAGAAGGGCCCATAGATGCAAGGGACAGCACTCCTAGGAACTAAGAGCCTATCTTCATTCCCAAGGCACCCTCTTGTCTTGGACACAACTTCGTTATGATATTGTGACTCTTGCTGTATCAATTGCAGGGTGAGATCCACTGTGGGCTTTTTGCTCGTTGAGGCTCCTAGGCCTCTGTGTGCTAGAGAGCAATCAAAGCTACCCGATTTGGATTTCAACAAGGATAAGAAAGGGAAGGTTTGAAAATATGTTGGTGGGAGGACCAGCAAGTGGAGAGTGCCTGGACTCCCAGGTGATTGACTGCAGTTCTAGTCCCGCATATAGAAGCTTGAAACTCATGCTGGGTGAATGTGCGTGTGTTCAAAGTCAAGAGAAGAGGACAGAGGAGAAGGGACTGCAGCATGGCCATCCCTCTGGGGAGTAATTTCTGTCTCTCTCTTTGCCTTGTAGCAAAAATATCCAAAAGAAAACCATATTGGGGGTGGGCAAGGCATATCTCAGTTCATGCCTAGCCTCTTGGTGGCCCTGGTCATGGAGCTGGGGCTGCAGAGCATAGCCTGGGGGTGTGGCGGTCATGTCTGCTTTTCCTCTGTGTGCAGGTGGACCATTATGCTTTGCTGTCGACCTTGCAGCTGATGTACACCGTGGGATACTCCCTCTCTCTTATCTCCCTCTTCCTGGCTCTCACCCTCCTCTTGCTTCTTCGGTAAGTGGAACTTCTGCAGATGTGTGTTCAGGCATGTATCATACCATTTGTTCATTGGCTAGCTCTAGAAGGCACTGGAAGACTGGGCTGAACAATGGCATGGATGATCAGAGCCGTGAACAACCCGAAAGAGCCTTGAGTCTATCCACCCTGTTTTGAAGAAGGAGGATAAAGGGGTATTAAAGTTCCTGTGAGAGGCACTGAGTTGGCTCCTGGCCTTAAAGTCAGTCGGCTGTATAGCTAGGACTTGGATCTAGGATTTCTGACTCTGTCTTTGCCTCTTTGGTTTAGATACCTTCTGGGCCTGGTCTAAATCCCTACTCACACTCATTACTACCAGAGCCTGTTCTTACCGTAACTCTATCAGAGGCATTAGTTTTATTAAAAAAAAAAAATTAAGAAATGTTCCCAAGGTAAATAAATGAGTGGTAGATATGGGATTTATGTCCAGGGCCCTTAGAACTCCAATTAGTATCAATTATATAAGTGTTTCCTCTTAAGTACTTTACATACCCTAAGTAATTTAAATCTCATCCTATTTCGAATTACGATTAGTACAGATCCTAGGAGGTTAGCATTATTATTGCTCCCATTTTGCCAGCAGGTGGCGTGGTGGTTAAGGTGCTGGACTCCCACATGGCTGACCACGGTTTGAGTCCTGGACTTGGCAGCTTGCTTTCTCCCTTTTCCTCTTTCTCCCTCTGGTCAAATAAAATAATAATAATAGTAATAAATAAAATTAAATAAATATTTTTTCAAAAGAAGAAGAGATGAAGAAACTGGTCCAGAGTCATACAACTGGTGGGTGATGGGGTCAGGATCACAACCTCCAGTCCAAGGCCTGAGCGTTTTCACTCCCATAGACTGTCTTTCAGAATCCAAGTCCTGTGCATTTCACCACACCATGTTTTTGAAATCCCCCAAGTGAGATACTTATGGACCCACTAGGAAGACCTCCAAGGCTGTCTCTCAGGCTTGGCTCATTCGGGAACATAGTGGATACAAGGTGGCAGGTGCACATTCAACGATGTAAGAGACCTGGACACTAGTCCCAGAGCAGCTGCCCACATGGGCTTTATTAACCCCAGGTTTGGCTGAATTTGACCTCTCAGTCCCAAGATGTTTTATATCCTCTGGAGCAGAGCTGACGGCCTCCTCCATTGGACGAATTCCATAGTTTGGGTCCACTCACTATCCATGACCTTCCTCCACTCACCTACCCAAAGTCCCAGAGCCAAACCCGCAGAAAGTAACTACCTTCCCAGTTCTGCGGGAAGTAACTTTCCCTGGGACTGGGTTGCCCACATGGCTTTGTGTGTCTCAGGCTCTTGGAAGAGCAGTATCCAGTTCTTGCCCTTAAATAGCCCCCAGTTTAGTGACTGAGAAGGATGCATAAATCATAAAGCACAAGGGCCTGCCTCAAGTTCTTGTTTGGAAATTAAAATAGCAATAACAGCTCTAGAGCAAGGTAGGACTGCCCTATCTAGAAAGTACAGTCGGAGAAAAGAGTTCTTTGGTTAGAAAGGCCAGAGATGCTCAGTTTCCCATCAGCCAGTATGACAAAGAGCCTGCAGGAGGCTCGGGATGGGCTGGAACAAGTAATGGCAGCAGACATTTTCAGGGCACTTATTACATGCATTAATTGATTTAATTCTCATACAGCCCTTTGAGGTAAGTGCTTTTGTTCTCAGAGGCAAAAGAGCCCTGGAGAGCTCTCAGAGTTTCTGCATCTGAATCTCAGCCTTACCACTTCCTGCTCAGGGATTTCGGAGAGGTGACTTAACCTTCTGCTCTAAGTACCCCATGTATAAAATCAGGGCAGTAATAGTGCCTCCTACTCTAAAAGGAGGAGGAAGGGTAACATACATGCACATGAAGATGGCTTGGAATCTGACCCAGAACGTTGAACATGTTATCTAGGTGGTAGCTATTGTTATTATTATTATTATTATTGGAGAGGCTTTTGCTATAGGGCATGTGCGCTTGCCAGAAAGACAGAGAGACACAGAGAGACAGAAAGCGAGAAATCACCCCCCTCCCCAAGGGGGATGGCCACGCCGCAGTCCCTTCTCCATTCTCCTCTTGGGATCTTGGGCATGCATGCACACTCACTCAGCGTGAGTTTAAGCCACTGGGTCTGGGACTCGAACTGCAGTCAACTACATGGGAGTCCAACAACGTAGCCATTAGGCCATCTGCTGGTCCTGGTGATAGCTATTATTATTCCCACATTACAGATGAGGAAAATGATGCACAGAGAAGGAAGAGCGCATAAGCCAGCAGGCCAGGTCTGGAGCCTATTCTCTAAACCTCTGTCTTTAGTAATAGATACACAGGCCTACACCTGTCAGCTCAAGCTATTCTTTACTGAAAGAAGGTGCTTGGTTTTCTCCTTGCACAGAAAACTCCACTGCACACGCAACTACATCCACATGAACTTGTTTGCTTCTTTCATCCTGAGAGCCCTGGCTGTCCTGGTGAAGGATGTTGTCTTCTACAACTCTTACTCCAAGAGGCCTGACAACGAGAATGGGTGGATGTCCTACCTGTCAGAGGTAATCCCCTTCCCCACCATTAATTGGTCCTCCCACCAGATGGGTCAGTGGGGAAAAACAGTGGGTTAGGGAGGGGCTTGGCGAGGGAAGCGGGAGATAAAAACTTTTCAAAGACTTTCAAAAACTTTCTAGTTAGGGAGGCAGCATATGGCAAAAAGAAATTAAGAATAAATAAAAAATAAATAACCAAATGAAAAATTCCCAGGAGTGGGCCAGGTAAAGAAACCAGAGGCAGAAGGGCTTACCATGTCTTCTGTATGAAATTTCTCTATCTAGAAATGAAAAAATTAAGTCAGATCTGTCTTTTTAACTAATACTGTTTTTTTTTTTTTAACAACAAAGCTGTTCTACATTGAAATTTACATTCATTGAAATGCTTTTACTTTATCATGCTAATAATACAGTAATCTGTTAAACTAACCTTGCTTTCCTGGAGTAAAACCAACTATTTATGTATTGATATATTATTTATTATTTATATCATATCATATATATTTATACTGATATATTATTCTTTCTCCTATATTGCTATATTCAGCTGGCTAGTCTTATGATTTGTTTAACATTTCCTCATGGACAATGTTAGAGAAATTGGCGTGTAACTTTTTTCTTGTCAAGTCAAGTTTGAGTATCAAGTTTATATTGACTTCTTAAACTGGAACTTCTCTCTTTCACTATTCTCTGCAAGAAAAAAAAAATTTTTTTTGGAGAGGTTTTTGCTATAGGGTGCGTGCGCTCGCCAGACAGACAGAGAGAGACAGCGAGAAATCACTCCCCAGGGGGGATGGCCACACCACAATCCCTTCTCCTCCATTCTCCTCTCAGGGTCTTGGGCATGCCCTCACATGTGCCCGGCGTGAGTTTTAAGCCACCGGGTCTGGGATGCGAACTGGGGTCGACTAGATGGGAGTCCAACGACATAGCCATTATACTAACTGCTGGTCCCTGCAAGAAAATTTTTTAAAGCTTATTTCTTCCCTAAGAAAAACAGAGACAAACAGATACACCTTACAAGAGTCTGCACTGGAATCAACCCTGTCTCATGGGCATACACACCTGCAGCTGGTGTGCTCAGGGAGGTCACAGGATATGAACCTAGGACCTTTCCCATGTGAGTCCAGTAGTGGTATTACTGGGCCACTGCTGACCCCACCTGGAAGACACTTATAAAGGGTATTATTTCTTCTTCAATAGGTTCATAAATTTACTGCAGAACCCATTTAGAACCAGAGCTTGCTTTATTGAAAGGTTTTAAACAGTAGATTAACTATGAGTAATTATTTGAATTTTCTATTTCTTCTGATGTCAGTTGTAGTAATGAGTTTTTCTAAGAATTTGTCTATTTCATCTAACTTTACACATTTAGTGTCATGGTATTATTCATAATATTCTCTTCAAGTCATTTTAAGGTCTGTTGGATCTGTAATAGTGTTCTCGTTTCATCCCTGATATTGATTATTTGTGTCTGTACTTGCTTTTTTCACTCTTGGATGATGCTTGCCAGAAGTTTCTCAATTCCATTGGACTTTTCAAAGAACAAAGTTTTGTCATTGTTTATCTGCTTTATTTTATATTATCTATTTCATTTGTTTCTGCCTTTTTATCTTTATTATTTCCTTCCATGTACTTTCTTGGGTCTTAATTTGCTATTCTTTTTCTAACATTTTTGACATGATGCTTAAAGTAATTGATTTTTAGCTTTTGTCTTTTGAAATTAATGTCTTTAAGGCTATGTGTTTTATTCTAGGTTTGGTATTAGCTGCATAGTACAAGTTTTCAAAGGCAGTATTTTCTTTATATTCAGCTCAGAGATGATTTTTAATTCCTGCTACAATTTCTTCCTTGATCCTTGGGCTACTTAGGAGTCTATTTCCAATCATATGAAGTTTTTTTTAAGTTATAGGTTTCTAACTTAATTAATCTGAAGTTCAAGAATATATCATTGGGGAGCCAGCAGGTGGTGTGGTGGTTAAGATGCTGGACACTCCCACATGGCCAACCACAGTTCAAGTCCCAGACTTGGTAGCTTGCTTTCTCATTTTCCTTCTCTCTGTGTCTGTCTTTCTCTGGTCAAGGGAAAATAAATGAATTAATAAATAAAATTAAATAAATAATTCTTTATTAAAAATATGTATTTATCATTGGGACCAGCAGATGGCATAATGGTTATGTTGCTGGACTCCCAAGTAGTCGACTGCAGTTCAAGTCTTGGACCTAGTGGATTGAAACTCACGCAGGGTGCATGTATGTGAGTGCCCAAAATCTCAAGAGGAGAATTGAGGAGAGGGGATTGTGACATGTCCATCCCCCCAAGGGTGATTTCTCACTTTCTGTCTCTCTGTCTCCCTCTGTCTCTCTGGCAAGCGCATGTGCCCATAGCTAAAATCTCTCTCTCTAAAAAAAAGAAAAAGAAAGAAATATCATTTAGTATATTTTTTTCATTTAGTATTTTTATTAGAACAACTGATGATGATAAATTCTCTCTGGGTTTGTTTGACTAAAAGTATCTAGAATGCAGAGAAAGAGGCTGGTTTTAAAATCTATGTAAACCTTACCACTGTTACTCTTTCTGAGATAGTAAGGGGCTAGGAGAGAGCAGAGCAAAGAAGGGTCCTGAGGAGGCCCTTTTTGGTCACTTGCAGCCCAGTTTCTGGGAAAGTATGGACTGACCCTCCTGTGTCCTGTCCCCTGCAGATGTCCACCTCCTGCCGCTCTGTCCAGATTCTCCTGCACTACTTTGTGGGTGCCAATCACTTATGGCTGCTGGTCGAAGGCCTTTACCTCCATGCGCTGCTGGAGCCCACCGTGTTTCCTGAAAGGCATCTGTGGCCCAAATACTTGCTGTTGGGTTGGGGTGAGTGACCTAAACCTCAGCCTCCTTTCCTGGGGACTCATCAGAATGTGGGAGCCTGAGGGCACCTTTGGTTGGAGTTAGAAACCCACTTGAAGGGTGGCTTTTGGGACTGATCATTCCTCAATGACAAAAGCATTGATGAAAAATTGTGTGTGTGTGTGTGTGTGTGTGTTTGCACATGTATGTATACCTGCTGTGGGCCCAATACACGTGGTCAAAAACTGGGAAGGTCTTTGGTGGAATTGAATAACATTCCTCCACTCTGTCCTCACCTGTCTGGATCTGGGGATGCCATAACGAAATATCTGTGTGACTTAAACAACAGGCATTGATTTCTCATGATTCTGGAGGCTGAGAAGTCCAGCATGGTTTGGTTCTGCTGTGGCCTCTCTTCCTGGCTTGCTAATGGTTACATTTTTGCTGTCTTCTTACATAGTAAAGAGAGAGAAAAAGCAGTCTCTCTGGTCTCTTTTTATAAAGGCACCAATCTTGTCATGAAGATCCTGTAATCATGACTTCATCTAAATGTCATTAGCTCCCAATGCCCCCATCTCTAAATACCATCACAGTGGGGGTAGGGATTGAACATATGAATTTTGGAAAGATGTAAATTATTCAGTCCATAATACAAAGACTTCAAGATGAGGTTTTTTGATGGAAAACAATAATAATGACCAAGAATATCTAGATCTGGAGCCCTTAACTGTATAAAAACAATTGGGAAATGTGGATGCTGTAGGATCCAGAGGAAATAACCTGGGCCTGCAATTCAGGAAGCTTTGGTCAATGTCCTTGTATTTACTCTAAGCTCCTTTGAGACAAATGACGAGTTCCATTCCTTTCTGGGTTCTGGCTTGTCAGATAGTAAAACAACGGTTGAGTTCTGTGCCTCCCTAGGACTCCCTGTTTCCCATAGCCCATGATTCGGTGGGATGTGGGTTCTTGCAAGTTTTAACCAGCTGTGATTGGGTGCATCAGGCTGGGGTGGGAAGCAGGCAGGTTTGACCAGCCAGCTCCTAAGTACACATCCTGTGTTTTCTCCCTAGCCTTCCCTGTGCTATTCGTTGTTCCCTGGGGTTTCGCTCGTGCACACCTGGAGAACACCGGGTAGGTAATTCACCTGGGATTATTCTTCCCTAAGAGTAACTCCCAGATCTGCCACAATATATGAACTTTCATAGTTTCCCCAAAGAGAATGTCCATCCTCTTCCTCTCATGGTGGCCATCAAGTCAATGGAGGGCTTCAAAAAGTTCATGGAAATGAGTATTACGAGAAACTGCAAGGATTTCAAAAGTTTTCACACTAAAATAAACTCCTACTTTAATTCCCTTTTCCATAAAATTCTTGAAGTATCTTTATATACTTGGAAATGTAGGTAAAATAAAGATCTTATAGTAGTTAGTTTATTAATCTAGTTACACATGCAAATTAGCCCAAAGGTGCTGTGTAGTTTAGATGTGGCCCTGGTATGTAAGGACATAAGCACAGACATGGCATTGCCCCATTGTCCACAGTGAGAAAAAGCAAAAACCAATAGACAAAAGTGGACTGACCCTGTGGCCGAGTGGTTAAGGGAGCTGGATCCTTCATGGGTTACCACTCTGTGTCTTAGTCCCCGTGGCTTGAAAAACATGTTGGGCATGTGTGCATGTGTGCCCAGAATCCCGACAAGATGGAGACTTAGAGGAGAAGGGATTGTGGCATGACCACACCTCACTGTAGGGTGCTTTCTCCCTCCCCCTTTCCCTGTCTCTCTGTCTCTCTCTTGCAAGTGTACATGACCTCTCACAATAAAACAATAAAGGCAAAAACAAATGGGGGTGGTAGCAGGTGGCATAGTGGTTAAGGAACTGGACTCCTATGTAGTCAGTCAAGGTTTGAGTCCTGGACCTGGAGGCTTGAAACTTACGCCAGGCATATGTGCGTGCATGCCCAAAACACTAAGAGGAGAATGTAGGAGAAGAAATTGCAGCATGGCATCCCCACTGGGGGGTGACTTCTCACTCTCTGTCTCTTTAGGGAGCACACATGGCCTATAGCAAAAAGCTCTCTCAAAAAAGAAAAAGAAAAAAAAAACAAATAAACAAAATCCTAAATGTACATCCATATGGGACTCATTGAATATTATGAGACTAGTGAAAAAAAAAATACAAGTTAGTTCTCATCTTTTGACTTTTTAGGGACTGAATCTCAACAACATGATTGAAGTTTGTAGCTGAATGATGTATTACGTGATCACATTTTTTTTTCTTCCACCTACCTACCCCCTCCCCACACACACACACACACACACACGAAACATACACACACCTATATAATTCAGGATTTGTGTTTCATAAATGTGGAGAAGAGCGTGAAGGGTATCGTTGAAGAGCAAGCTAGTGGTGAGGAAAGCCAATAGTACCACCACGAAAAGAAGGGACTTCAGTCTTCTCTTCCCCCATCCCACCCCTCAGGGCAATGCCTGCTGGAAGGTACGATTTGTGTGCAGCCTCCTTTTCCCACAGGGCGAGACTTTGACATTCAACCTGGTCACAGCTTTTAAGTCTCCTCCTGTCTGCTGTTTGTCCTTAGATGCTGGGCAACAAATGCGAATAAGAAAATCTGGTGGATCATCCGGGGACCCATGCTGCTTTGTGTAGCGGTAAGAACCATCCCACCTACCTTTTTCCTCTCTGAGCTCAGCAGCTGTGGAGAACGCCCCCACCCCACCCACCGTACCCCAAATTCTCAGATCTCTGAAGAAGGAGAAGCTAAGCTGTGAGCAAAATCTGTTAAATGAGAAGAAATGAACTAAATTTAGGATTATAAACCTCCTTCCCTCTGAGTCTTCAAACTATGTAAAGAGATTTGCAATCAGCTCTGTGATCCTGTATCGAGGGGCTGCGATGTGTTCAAAGGGCCATCGAAGAGTTTATGAAAAAATGAGATTAAAGTACGAGTTAATTTAGTGCAGAAAAATCTCACAATCTATCCACATTTCACTTTAAAATACTCATTTTCCATGAACTTTTTAAGGACTCTCCCCACCCCCCACCCAGTTCAAGGCCCTGAAGAGGTGGTGCCTTGAGACACAGAGAAGCCCAGTGATTACAGAGTTGTAGGCTTGTATCTTAACAGCACTAGCATTGGGAGGAAAAGACTAAGGACACATCTACAGAACGAAAACACCAATCAGTCTTAACCCAACTCTGTGGTGGATGCTAAAATCAAGACATAGATGCCACCCTGAGACCTGGAGGAAAAGCCTTTGTTCGACACGGTTCCGAATATTTGGAATAGAAAAGCCTGTTGGCCTAGAGTCACAAAGCCTCTTTAGATTATAGAGTATGGGACTGGAGTCAGTCACAGAAGCTTGAGGGAAGGGGCACAGAGTGAGCCAACAGTGGGACGGGTTAGCAAGATCCATAAGCGAGGCTGGAAGTCTTCCTGCGTAGACATAACCACATCTTCTCTGGATGCCAGGCACTGTGCTCTGCCCACAAGCTGAGGCTCTGCAAGCACCTCTTGAAAAACATGCCAGGGAACGTGTGCAAACGTGCTCAAAATCCCAATGGGAGGGAGAAATGGAGGGGAAGGGCTGATGGTGTGACGATTTCCCACGGGAGATGCTGTCTCTCTTTCCTTCTCTCTCCCCAGTGAGCACACACATCCGCTGGCAAATTAAACAAAGAACTCATGACACGTAGAGCTTCCTTGGAGCACTGGAATCCACTCTTTTTTGCCTTCATTTAGCAGTCACTGAGTACCTTCTGTCTGCTTGGCTTGGTGCTAGGTTCCTTCTGTTCTGTCCCCAGGAAATCCAGAATTTAATAATTACCACCTGGGCCTCATAAGACTATGACCAAACCAAAATCTGCCTTCATGTTTGGTCCTGTGATCACATTGCAGTTTTCCATACATTTGAATAGACATAGTCCCAACTCAAAAAGAGAATTCCTTTTACCACAACATGAAAGGAGCCTGGGTCCCTAAATGACTGCCTGGAGTGAATTTTCCACCCCACTGCACTGGATGGTGACAGAAGAAAATAACAATAAGCCTTAATTGTGTTAGGGAAAAGAAGAACTTCTTGATCCCCACATTTGTTTTATTTTTAACTAAAGATTCAAAACATGACATATTAATCAAGATTGAGTTGGTAGCACCTGGCATGTTAGGATATTTAACAATCTTCTTTCATCTTGGCCATATTTGAGCCTGGGCCCTCTGGAGCTGAAGCAACTGAAGAAAAGCCCATTTTGCATGGCGAACAGAACATTGGGACCAAAGAGGCTGTCACCCCAGGCCAGCTCCAGTTTTTATAGTTGGCTCCCTCTCTCTGTCGCCTAGACTGGGTGTGCATTTGTTGATCACATCTGGTTTGATGTGAGTGTATGTCATGTGGAATTTCTAGATACATCAACAGGCTTCATCTGCTGCTTTTTCGGTACAAGATTTCCTATATTTTAGAAATGACCATAACATGACAACCTGAAGAATCCAGACATACTTTATTTTTATTTTATTTTTTTTTCTTTTTTTGGAGAGGTTTTCGCTATAGGGCACATGCGCTCGCCAGAAATACAGAGAGAGACAGAGAGATAAAAAGTGAGAAATCACCCCCTAGGGGGATGGCCACACTGCAGTCCCTTCTCCATTCTCCTCTCGGGATCTTGGGCATGCACGCACACGTGCCTGGCGTGAGTTTAAGCCACCGGGTCTGGGACTCGAACTGTGGTCGACTATGTAGGAGTCCAGTGACATAGCCATTACGCTAACTGCTGGTCCCCAGATATGCTTTAGATCTTTTACCAGACCTAGAAATTGGAGAACTCCCACCTCTTTCTCTGTATAAGACTTTACTGCTTAAATTAACTTGTCACCCTTGGGCATACATTTAGGGTTAAATCATATTGGAACATGGTATATTCTCATATCCTAGTCTCCCCCCCCAATAAAAAATTGGAAAGCCTTGATTAGTTCAACCCTTCAAGGACAGCTTTATGAAAGTATTACTTTGTGCAACATTATTCTATCTATATCCTACTCCCTGGAGTTAAGATTGGCCAGACTGAAGACCCAGTTGAGTGGTGTTTTTGAGCCAATGAATTGAATGAACCATCTGTTGACTTCATGAAGTCATCACATAGGAAGTTTTCATTTACTGAATCTTCTCTGAGCATCTCAGAACTTGACAAAGCTGACAGATTGGTAAAGTGAGTCTGGCCTTATTCCTCTTTAGATCCTCTACAACCCTCCCCTGCCACTGTCCCAGGGACTCAGGGATTTTCTGCAAGTCCAGGTTTCCCAAGACATCTCCTCACTCCCACACTCTCTTCTTCTGAAGAGCTACCGTGAGAATTTCCACACACCCTGGGTTTTCCCACTCTATCAAAACTTATCTGTGCTGCATCCTATCTTCTGATTTCCATGATGAAAGTAAGTCAGATTATAGATGATTATTGAAGTCTTGATTGTTGTAAAACAATGAACGAAAGAATGGGTAAATGAATGATAGCATTTCCTTCCTCCTTTCCCAGTCATTCCTCACTTGCTATGGGGTGTGTAAATTTCAGCAGGGCAGGATTTTAGTTCACACAGCAGGCCAGGCTGTGGAAAGGCTTGAGGTAGGATGAGTGGAAGAGTTTAGAGGTAGGCCTTATCCACCCATAAGCTCCCATGCTAGCAATCACTTCTGCCAACCTAAAGATTCAGGTCTGTGCATTGAAGGTAGGGTGCCCCCCAAAATCACTAAGAATGTTCCATCTGAGAATGCAGATGTACTGTCTAGGATCTGAAAAGAAGCCTTGTAGTTTGAGGGTCCTAAGCGCCCTCCATCTGGTCACATCCTGGAGAAGACTGGATTCTTAAAAATTATCTTCAGCCCATTTCCTGCTTGCGCACAAATGAAGAACACCACCATCCAAATGTGATTGCTGACTCTTTTCTTCTTGGGAGTCTAGATGAACAGGGCTCCATGGCAACCCAGGCTGGTGTTTCATTCCGTGGCAGTGAAGAAGGGCTCTGTCCATATGGCCCATTGGTTGGTGCCCATTTTCTCTTGTCTGGTCTCTGGAAACCATAAAGAACAACTAATCAGCATGCTCCTCATTATAACCTTTCATTTCCTAGGAGACAGTTAGGAGTGAAATTAATTTGCGGAAAGATGTGACTCTCCCCGTTAAGCTTACTTCTTATGAAAAATGCCTGTGTTCAACAAATCACTTAAGCCGAGGACACAACGTGTTCTTTTTGCGATGAAAAATACCAGATATCCCCTAAAACGGGATAAATTGCTTGGTTACCTTTAGTTTGTATTTGAATTTTCTGTTACTAAATATTCTTTGCCTGGGAACCTCTGTCATTCCTGTTGGCTTATGGACTGGACGCTTTCTTGCCTGAAACTGTGGACTTTTAACATGGAGCACTGATTCCCCTGAGGCCAATGAAGCAAGTAATCACAGGCACATATGGGATCCTCCAGCTTGGGTTTCAGTACGTAGTTAAATGGTTTTATATCTGGATGTTAGTAGGATGCTGGCTCAGTGTTTGCAGGGACACTCTGTTCATTGTCATCCTCTCATCCCCTTCTCTGTGGACTCTTTTTCTTTTCTTTTTTTTTTTTTTTTTTTTTTTGAGGGTTTTTGTTTTGGGGCGGTGGTCGCATCAGACA